AAGAAGTAATAGATTATTAAAGGCAAACTTGAATGCTCCTTCAGAAAAGTGAGAGCCTAAACTTGACATAAAACAGCACAACAGACTGCAACCCTGCCCTGTTCCATTCGCCAATACCATCCCTGAAAAAAAGTTATCTTTTTCCTGTTCTGCAGGAATGACTTGTCAACCACCAAATTCACACATAGCAGAAAAATGAGAACAAGAACCGCATTGCCAAAAGGACTGGTCCAAGACATGGAGCCTTTCATTCCCTGTTCTGGAGTCGAAAGCATACATATTTGGGCAAAAGTACCAAAAATACAAAGACACTCACTCTTAGTTGTCCTTCCTGAAGATCACCCTGCTGTAAAGGTCACGCAGCAGAAATGCTTCCTCTGTATTTCATAGGTTGCTGATGCCACCTGGGGAAAATGCGTCAAGCCAGTCACTCCCAGAGCATTAAGGAAAACCGGTTACAAGACAAAAGCCTTCCTCAACTTTGAGGAGTGTTTACAAATGTGATGAATGCCAGTGTGTCCTAGCATGCCAGCTTGAAAATAAGTCAAGCACCTGGCCCTCAGCACAAAAGGCTGACTCACCTGCACAGCATCTATTATCCTCTGAAAAGACCCCAAGTTTAGCACTCCAAGGACACAAAGTACTTTCAGGAGGCTAACAGGAGCATGACTTTTCCTCCTCCTTTTTTTCCACCTGCACATACCGCAGATCAAAGTTGTGGGATGGCTTCCCCAGCCAGGGGACAAAGATGACCTGCATACTTGAGATCACTCTCCGATACTGCACAAACACCCCCTGACACAAGCCCACCTACTCCACTCCAAGGGGGGAAAGAGAAACAGCATAGAGATTACAAGCCATGAATACAGTCACTGATTGCTTAAACCTACGCTCCATGAAGCTCCAACATCAGTGTTAGTCCCCATCCCATCCTGCAGCTCCACTGAAAAATAATGCATAAAACTGAGAAACCACTTTAGCAAGAGACATTCTGTATCAACTATGTCAGAAGGAAATTGTGCTTTTCTTGTTCCCACTATATCTTCACGTTCCCTGCTCAAATTTGTTTGCTTTTTAGACTATGGCTAATTCAAGGATCTTTCTTTTCCCTGCACAGAACTATGAGCTGGGACTCATGAAAGGCCTTCTGGCTACTACCAATGTCAACATTGCTAAAAAAAAAAAAAGTGAGAAGAGAAAAAGCAGCTTGGTGATGACAGTTGTGATACATCGAATATCAAGCTTGCTTCATTGTCATTCCCACTACCATCCAAACAGATTTTGCTTTGTATTATCTTCACTTTGTGTAGAGAAGAAAAATAAGCAAAATGAAAACCATCACTCTTACCAAGTACCATATTGTGCAGTGACCATCCTCCTGAGTAATATCTCATACCAGCTTTCCATTCACACTGGTGACAATGCTAGAAGGCCACTGTAAACCAAATCCCCCTGCCCAAGCTTTTAAAGGACTACGAAAAGATCTGAATGAGAAGAGATCTGAAAACTCTCCCCTATTTCAAAGGGAAGTTGTATCCTCCTCAGCATGGCTCTTTTCAAATTGCAACACTTCCAGTAATCCACAAGTGATCCTTTTATTCTCAGGAACATAAACTTTACGTAACATGAAGAGACAGTTCCTTGCCATTTGTTTAAGCTAAATCCAAATCCAAGCTATACAGTGTTTGAGCAAAAGAAAAACAGAGCCTCTGCATGCTCAAGCTGTCAACTAAAACAAACACCTTAACTCCCACAGTATGTATTGGGGAAAGCACGTGGGATCATCTGAGATCAAAGTTTTTTTCTGCATGGCTGCCACACACCTACGTGGGCACTTTATGCTGCAAGACAGCACTCTCCTGGCACAGCACTGAAGTTATCAACAAAGACACATACAAGTACCTAATACAGAGATTTATTTATTTCTTTTTACTGGCACCACATACGGCTACTACAAGTGCAAGGTAGAGTCAAGTCCTAGTACTCATACAACAGCACACATGCCCAGGAGCAGTACAAGGAGCTAATTCAGCTGATAACTAGTCTAAAACCCTTAAATGGATCACCTCCCTGAACTGGTTCACCATTCAGTGCCAAAAAAAAGGGGTAGGAACACAAGGATGGGACAGGCATGTGACACAGGGAACAAACGCCTGGACTTCAATTAGCTGGAGTGACCATGGAGACTCAAGTGGAAGTCAACACACACGTGGCCAGTAATTTTTTTTTTTTTTTTTAACCACACCACTGCTTATCTTTTCTTCCTCTCACCTTTATTCATAAAGGGCACAACCAGTGATGTCTGATGTCTTCACATGCAAAGCATATACCAAGGCCAGTCACAAAGCTCGTATGTGCTAGAAGCACAGTGCAGGAACAGTCATAACATTTTGAGCACAAGCCATAACAATTCACTGAAAGGGCACGATCACAGATGTTTGACAAAGTGCAATCCTTCTGTTCATGATTCAGCTTAAAACTGCACAGACAAAACCTGCATGTGAAGGTGCATGGCTGCCGAGGCATCTCAGAAAACACACAGAGGACCCACAGAAAAGACACACAGGAGGCAGCTGCACAACAGGTTTTCTCCGGTGGCAAAACAGACCTTGCTGCTGTGTATCCCCATCTCCTCCCTGTACCTGCACTGGCACCGCAGCTTGCTGCCCCTCAGATGTGCCGATATAACCGTGTATGAGGCTGGACAATAAAGCATAACGGAAAAATGAATCAAGGGGGGGGAAAACAAAGCAAAAAAAACCCCATGCCCCTAACAACCCCACTTCTTTTGAAACTCTACTGTTTCTTTTTACACCCAGTTTCCTTTCCCCCAGGACCAGAACTTCAGTTTTAATCTTGCTCAGTAGCACTGAGATGATCCAGTGGATTATCTGCCCAAACACTAGGTTGCACAAATCACCAGTCATCTATGAGCTCAATGTTGCAACACAAAATAAAGCCTCTAAAAAACTCCAAAACTATACTGCAGAGCAAAGCTGAAATACAATTACCTTAACTAACAAATACCCTTTTCTGGAACACCCAACAGCTATTCATAGGATTGGCACAGTCCAAGTTTAACACTTTTTGTTACAAGGCTGTCAAAAGGCTGGTTTTGTTTGCTGTGGAAGTGGGTTGTGTGTTTGAAGATGAAGGGTAGATGGGAAAGAAGTTCTAACATTCCCCTTACAGCACACTTCAAAATTTAGAGATCCTTGTAAAACCATGATTTTTATCATCAGTAAGATAGAGGTAGCAATGCTTTTATATCACAGGAGAAATATAGGCATAAAAGGTTGTATATCCAGAGACACTAAGCACTACAGAAAAAGAAATCAATGATCCTCCTATTCATTACATATGCTTGATAACGTCCAGAAAATAACTGATTAAAATATTCTCTGAATATGGTACAAACCTGCAAGATGAAATAGCATTCTATGTCAATAATAGTACGCTACTGTATATACAAAGGAACAAAGCTAAGCCTGAACAAGGAATCCTTTTTCTGGCATTTTCTAACTTCTGGGCACTAAACTCCAAAACAAAGCTTGGAACATAGCTTTCACGTGCAATTTATACATACCTCAAGACACTCCAGGTAAAAAATACTTGAATTATCTTTAAACAATCTGGAAAAAAAAAATCAGCAGAAATTGGGAAAGGAAAATAAACAGATTTTTATTACAGTAGTCCCTGCAAACTTGCAAAAGAAAAAAGAAAAGAAAAGCACTCTCATCATGAAACAAAGTTGGACTGCTATATTTATTACAATCCCTAGTCAAAAGCTGACCTAGTCAAAAGAGGTCAATGCTTAAGACGGGCAAGTAAAAGATCTGATGTCACTCAGGAGCAGATGAGGGACAGCCATTTAAGACCTTTGAACTTGTAATGTTTAAAGAAAAAAACAAACAAACAAACCACCACACCTCTCCCTCATCTCAACCACCTTCAGCTTCTACTGTAAATAGTCCAAACCAAATATGAAAAGTGACTGCATTAGGACAAACTCCAAATCTACTGCTATCAACTTATCTTAAATAAACTGTTTGTCTGTGTTAAGTAAACTATTTGACAGAAAAATTACTGTCAGAAAAACTGATGTACATTTTTTTAGAAGTGAAAATAAATAGTATGGTTTTGATCCTAAAAATAATCGTCACATGAGGCGTCTCACTGTTTCTATGGGCTACTTGCATGAGCAAGGCTATGCTGGCATTCAAGCACCTGATGAACTGAGCTAGTCTTTGAAACAACAATTTTGTTAACAGTTCTTTCATCTGCTCTGCTGTTGTACTGCTCTACATCCGAAATGGCTAGGAAATGAGGATTTTAATTAGAAATGTGTAATTTTTAACTATCCATCATAAATTCAGTAAATATAGAAATCAGTACACCGTGGAAGTGTCTATCACTGATACATATCTGACATTGCCCAGCATGAAATGCCTAGAACAGACTGGTACAGCAAATGAATTCACCTTCCTACTTCAGGAGATGTCAGATTTACTTCCCCACACCAGATCTTTTCTAGTAAAGAAAGTCTCTGAAAGCCTTAAAAATCAAGTAGGGAAAAATTCAGAAGGTAAAAAAGTAGTGTCCTTGCAGGGACATGCGCTAGGGACTGGGGAACCATCAGGACCAGGGATTACAACCCAGCCTGCCGCAGGGACTGCACTGCAGGCTGCACCACATCTGCTACAGCTTCCCCTGGGCAAGGGCTGAAATCACAGCAGGGCAGTACTGACCGAGGAGACAAAAGGCAAATCACTCCTGTCCCATCCTAGCTGGCTGCCTAGACCACTCTCCCCACAAGCCTGTGCCAATGGCACCCAGAGGGGCTGCACAGTGGCAGCTCCAAGGAGGCAGGCTCCAGAGCGGCACCTCCCAAGAGATGCCAGTCCGACAACTTCTCTTGGTCTGCTCCGAGAGGAGACCGTGAAGGTCAAGCGTTAAGTCTTGCTAAAGATTGAATAAAATTCTGGGGCTGCTAGACATACCTGAAATAGTAAGAACATCCACATAATATGCTCAGCATATAGTGTTCCATTTGTGAGGCTGCTAAAATGTGCATAAAAAGTTGGATTAAAAAATGTGTGCGAAAACATCCTGATTAGCCCTGCTAGTGTAATGCTCCAAGTAAATTAACGCAAGAAAATAAGAACAGTCAAAAGCAATCACGATACTAACATGTGCTGTGCAAGTGTAGATTTCTCTTGGTACTATATTAAGATTTCTTTTTAAAAGACTTCTTAATAGATGAAATGGAAAATTGCATACTGCCAAGAAAGGAGGTGGAGTGAATACCATCCTCTACATTGCCTTTGGTATTATTACAAAAGGCAATACTATGTGTAGTAGAGAATGTTTCTGGTTATTAAATTTTATGTTTCAATGGCATCACATTATATATGGCCTTTTTCTGCAATTAACCTCCAAAACACAAATTAAATATTAATGGATAAATGTCAATTATGATTATGAGAAACAATAAAAGGACCATAAATTAAATAATGCAGATAGACCAATAAAGTATTTTCACATGATCAAAACAATGTTTTAGTGTTAATGTTTTCTTATTCTAATTGAAAATGTAATTATGTACTCATAGGTGGTGTTATTGCATAAAATTTGGTAAACGATACCATCTCTTCAGCATTACAATTCACTCCCAGTAAGAAAAGAGCAAAACAAGCCTTGCTGCTTCTTCCAGCCAAGCCTAGCAGTGCAGCATTATTTGATGCTTCACAGAAATCTTCCATTTGAGACTGTCCAGAGTGCAGTAGGATATCTTCACAGTTATTCCTAGACTATTTCCATCTTCTGTAATTAATTATACTCAATTCTATATTTTATTCAGTATTACCAGCTCTCCCACACATCCAAAATATTTTCCCACTATTGTACTTTTTAACTAAGGAACTAACCTTAGGCTTGCTAAGAATTAAAAAAAAAACAAAGCACGAAACAGAAATACTCAAATATGACACTCGGGCAACCTCGTTGCTTTAAGGTCATTGCTTCTGTTTTCCGATGCTGATTTTTTGGGGGGGTGAAGGGGTGGAGGTCTGAGACAAAACATTTTTAACAAACTACCAAATGCAGCCAAAAGCCAATTTAAATAGCAGCTGCTTGATGCTCAGATGTACAACTCTTCCCGTGCTTTACCACACTGGCCATCAATGACTACTTTACAAATTGTAAATTACATGGGACACGCTGTTCACAAACAAATCAGATTTATGGTTATATTCAGTTGTTCCTGTTACCTGAAATTAGAATTAGAAGCTCATTAAATATAAATACATTTCAGAGAATGTAGAGGCACAGCATTATATTGATGAAAGCTTCATTAAATTTTCAATGATATAGCTGCTTCTATATTTGTGAAGGAAGGACACAGAACAGAAAGAAGTTGAGGCAATTCTCCTTCAGGCAACTTTGCATCTTTCTACTATCCCTAAAAAAATATGGATTTTAAAATATAATGGTGGACTAATTAGGTATAAGAGAAAGTGACTGCGGTCCATTATATTCAATGAATGATTACTTTCAGATCAGCATTTCTCTTATATATGTTTGCCAACTATACAACTGATGTTCAACAAGAGGGGAATTGGTAGAAAGCTAGAAATCCAGCTCTAATGATCAAACTTACATAAAATACAGACTCTGTACAGGTCCTGAACTCACTTAATGGCGCAGTGATCTTTTTAAAATATTCACTTAAAGAGACATAACAAGAGTATTGGAAATGAAGTCTTACCTAGCAAACAATAAGACATAACTTCTTGTGCAAGCAGAAATGTAAAACTATCTGTCAAAATCATGCAGTAATACAGCCTTATTTTTACTGCAGAGACTGAAACCAAGAAAAAGACCTGTGGCAGAAAAACTAGACACAAGCCCGCTACTCAACTAGATTTCTAGCATTATTATCGGCAAGTCAGACAATTACAATCTCCATATGTAAAACACCCATAACCAGGCTACATTAAAGAATGCAGAATCAAAAACACAAAAGTGAAAATTCAAGTGGTCTGATCCCTCTTGTGGTCATGCACTACGACATAAATTTATTATATCTCCACATTATGTTACCCCAGTTTTCTTTGGAAAAAAGGCTTATGGAATCAGGCTGTTACTCGGCTCCTCCCCATTCACTCCCCTCGATATGCATTACCTTATGTCAACTAAGTCAGGCAGCGGGGTAGAGGCCTCAATGTCATGTTATTCCTCTAACAAGCCTGCACAATACATGGCCCGGGCATTACATGTTTTCCTTACAGTTAATGTGCACGGCCTGCCAAGAACCGAGACGTAGGGTTGTTCTTTCCAACCTGTTAGGACTGCCACCTCTTTCAACCCTCTGGATAAGCAACGCTCAACTAACATGCATGCAGACAATGCCGGTTTATCCTCAGACCTTGTTTATTCTGCCCTGTTCAAATCCTGCTTCGACACGTTTACTTTTTCTTTTCCCTCCAGTTTTCTTTGGCATGCATAGTCAGCATTAAATAACTGACCTTCTCAAAACCACCATGAGGTAGTATTAGCCCCACATTACCAGATAAGGAAGCTAAGCCACTACAATTAATGCCTGAAGCATGCCCAAATTTCACATTCCTGATTTGAGAGTGATTAGCATTAGCACTATACAGGATTTCCTCTGCTCAAAGCACAGCTCCTGGGGAGCACGGGAGCAGTTGCACACAGCCTGCGCTCCTGCAGGGAAGTCCGATGGGCAGAGCCGGAGCCCCTGTGAAATGCAGGGCTCCAGGAACTTGGCCAGCTCCATCCCAGGGCTCTGTAAAGTAACTCAAAACACCCCGGGGTGCTGCTCCAGCCCAATGAGGGAAGGCAGGATATCAGAGTGCCAACCGCTTCTGCATCCTTCGTTCTTCCCCCAACCAAGACTTTGGGATCCAGGAACAGACTCCTTCCTTGCTCAGCTAACTTCCATTTAGACACGTACCCCCCTTCCCCACACACGCAAGCACACACACACAGACGCTCACTATCCTTACCTCTGAATTTCCCATAAGACACTGGCTCCCCACACATTCAGCCTCCTCGAACCTCACATCTTCCCTCTATGGTTCTTTAGCTCCAGTTTTCCCTCAGTCTTCCCAAATAAGTCCTAAATCCTTCTCTAGCCTAGTCATCACTCCTTCTCTCAAGTCCTCATGTAGTCATACCCCTTTCTCCAAGCAAGTCCCCCTCGTGATCTTTGCTGCTTCATTTACTGCCACACAGTAAGACTGGGAGTCAACCTCCCCTTTTGATTCCACTACAGCATTTCAGAGTTTCCCCAGAGCCACGAGATGTTTCCCAGTCACGCGTTCCTTGCAAAAGAGAAGGCTCCTTTCCAAAATCTGTCCGCAAAGGTTCCCACACAAACCCCATGCAATTTGAGTTCCTTAACCTCATCCCAAGGAACAAATCTCCACTTATATACATCATTGAGATACTGCCCACGTAAGGACAACTAATTCTGGCCACGTCTGCTCTTCCATCCTGTGTTACCTTTCCCCAAAACTAGGCAGATAGAACAGAAATCAAGGATTTGTTTAGCAAAATTTTAGGCCAGGCTTTCTTGCAAGAGTGGAAACAAAAAGGTTCAAACAAATACAGTAATTCTAGACTAAGCTCAACAGACAAATCTCTCTCCAGCTCCTAAATTCCTCCAAGCCTGCTCAGCTGACAACTGTCCTGGTTTCAGCTGGGATAGAGTTAATTTTCTTTCTAGTAGCTGGCATAGTGCTGTGTTTTGCGTTCAGTATGAGAAGAATGTTGATAACACACTGATGTTTTCAGTTGTTGCTAAGTAATGTTTATACTAACTGAAAGATTTTTCAGCTTCTCATGCTTGGCCAGCAAGAAGGCTGGAGGGGCACAAGGAGTTGGGAGGGGACACAGCCAGGGCAGCTGACCCAAACTGGCCAAAGGGGTATTCCATACCATGTGACATCATGCCCAGTATAGAAACTGGGGGGAGCTGGCCTGGGGGGATCGCTGCTCAGGAACTAACTGGGCACCGGTTGGTGGGTGGTGGGCAATTGCATTGTGCATCACTTGTTTTGTGTATTCCAATCCTTTTATTATTATTGTAACTTTATTGTTATCATTATTAGTTTCTTCCTTTCTGTTCTATTAAACTGTTCTTATCTCAACCCAAAAGTTTTACTTTTTTTTTTCCCCAGTTCTCTCCCCCATCCCACTGGGTGGGGTGGAAGTGAGCTAGCAGCTGTGTGGTGCCTAGTTGCTGGATGGGGTTAAACCACAACAACGACATTCACAGCAACATCACATCATCCTAGCATTGCCCTCAGTCCTGTTAACCTTCCTCTCTCCCTTTAGAGAATACAACCATATCCCAATGCTAAAGATAACTTTTCATTTTTTTCCTGGAACAAGGGGATCTTGGGGATTTACAGGCAGCCTCCCATCTCCAGTTCACAGCACATCAGTCACATGCTTATCAAACTACACAACTGCTACCGACAGTCCTTCCTGACGCCATCCAGGGCTTATTTTTTCAGTCTTTTTAAGCCTGCAGACAGCTACTCCCAGAAGAATCTGAACTCTGCTATTTACACAAGGCTATTCGTATACTCGCACTAAAGATTATCCGGTCTTTAGTTGCACCTACAGATTGTTCAGCTCCTAACCCCCACGAAGATATCAATTTTTTTTTTTTTTAAAACAGAAAACACAGGACATATTGCAAGTAAGGATGACAAAGACATTAAACGTTTGTCTGCCTGTACTTGTCTGGAACCAGAGGTCCACCTTCTTCACCCTGGCTCTGCCAGCAGCTCTTGCAATACATCTAACTCCAGTACCAAACTTTCCTGCTCTGTTAGACCTAACACTTCCCATTCTGGCTCAACACTCTGAAGGTGTCAACATTAGCCAAACCACTCCATTGCTTTTTGCTGTCTAGGAACGCCAGCCTTTCTTTGCCACTCTGGCCGCACTGCTTGGCATTAATAAAAACTGGGAAGAAGAACATTCTTAGGGCTTGGGAACTTTTACCTCAATGTTGCTTCTTAAAAAAAAAAAAAAAGCCACAACCTGTTCCTTACTCTGCCCCATCGCACTATTTCCTAACTCTCAGCAGAACCACTTATCTTCCTCTATAATGTTAAAGAAGTTGTCCTGCTCATGTTAAACAGCAAAAATCATTATCTACATGTTTCTCAATTTGGAGCCAAAATATTTATCAGACCAGATGACTTGCTCATTGTTCCTTTGTGGCAGAGGCATCTTGTTCTCACTTCTCTGAACTTACCTGCATTCCACACAAAAAAAAAAGACCTGCAAAAATTTCCTAATACATTCTCTCCCCGCATATGTGTTATATTTAGAGGAAGAACTACTCTGAATATCATTTTCAGGGCATCAAAAAATGATCTTAGCTACAACAATTAAAGTCTAATTTTGTCATATACAGCAGCAGTTTCCTCTAAGTTCTTTTCTCAGATCTGGTCTTGTCAAATAGAATTCTTGCAAAACATTTTTTTAAAAAAGAAAAACCAAGTAGATGTCATTACAAAATTCAGTTCACTCTTAGGACTACTACTTATGACTTTTATTACAGCCAGAGTGGCCTTTCTGTGAAGAAACATCCACTGTTTCCTGCATATCATTAAACCAAAGAGGGAACCAGCAACACGAAACTTAAGTGTCCACAACGCAAGCTCAGCACCCTGCCTGTCTCATATCCTGTTACTATCAGGGAAGATTTTTTTATTTCTTAATTTCCTAACCAAATCTGAACACTGGAGTACTCAATTCAACTTCCAAAATGTTGACCTAGCTTTTCTTCAAACTTCACCTTCAGTTGTCCTGGGGAAAAAAAAACAAGCAAAGAGCATGCACACGAATGCAACTTCTGAGTACTCCAAGAGGGTACTTTCAGATCTGCTCTGCTGGGAATTTACAATTACTGAAACATGCTTTTTAAAATTATTCAGGAATATAGCTGCTTAATTTCATAAATATTAAACCTATGCATATCGCTTATTAACATTTGGCAGCTAATGCAACCACAGAGAAGCAAGTCAGATGTCCTTCTTTCTCACAAACCCGCAGAATTATTGGCTTGAGTTATAATGCAGTAGAATGCAATTAAAAGAAAAAAAACCCACCTAATATCTAATTGTTTAAAAGGTTACTGTGTTTGCTTTCTTTTTGAGAAGCACTTATTTTAAACATAGAGATTTACCACACCTGTGTTGGACAATTACCATGCCGGACAATTACCATATTCAGCCTTACCATGGTAAACATTTACCCAACAAAAAGGGTAGAGCATGTTTGAAGACTCCTCAAGCTGGGCACCCAAACTCATTAGCCATTTTCATGATCCCAGGCTGCAGATTTTAGCCAGACTGAATTTTCAGAACCAAGGAAAAAGAATTTACTTCTCAATTTACTGATTGGCGATTGAGGATACAAACAATAGCTTTTCTTTTGCCAAGGTTACATCTCAGAGCAGAACCACAACTTAAATTTCTGAAAAGTACTTACAAGGAATGAAGAGTAGAGCTCCGCTAGCTTTGCTAAGCAGACAAGAAGTATTACTAAGCAGACATGCCAATTGATAGCTCAACAGAGAAAAGAGAAGATTTTCTAAATATGTCAGTTGTAAAACAAACGAATATAACTGAAGCATTAACACCACTTCATCAGAAGTATTAAGACCATGATTCAGAGTGAAATTTAAAAGCAAATATTCATTGTCAAAACTGGATGGCAGAAGGAAATAGCCTCTTGGATAATTCAGCAACAATTTAATCACCTCCCATGACTAACTTGGAGAGACTTTGGAAGAGTAATGGGATGGAACACAGTCCAAAGAGCATCTAATCCCAATTAATAAAAACAGGAATAACTCCAAAAAGACAAAGAAGAAAGATGACCTAGATTTCTATTCCCTAAGAAGTCATGAAAAAGCTTTCTTTCTGAAGGAACACATCCCGCTTTAAAAAAAAAAGTAATTTTGCTTCTTCCTTTGAGGATGCAGACAGGTTATGATTGTGTAACTATTTCAACCAACCACCAGTTAACCTAACTTCCCTTGGTAGAACTGACAAAGGTGAGTAAAAACCTCCCTGATGTGTCTCCCAACTCACCCAGAAGAAACAAAGAGATTTCTCTCAGAGATGTAAATCGTTGGGAATGAAATAGGCTACATGGTTTTCAATGCTTACCTCACCAAAGTGAAGTAGGCATTTTTAGGACCACACAAAATTCCTTTTCTGGTTGAGATTTTTAGCGACATGTAGTCCCAATCTGCTTTATTCCACCAAGACTACATAGTTTTTCACGCAAGCACGAATCTACCACCCAGGAATCTAATTCGAGATGTGATATGGCAAGAGCAGCAAGAAAACAAGCCTAAGAGACAAAACAGAGCACTTGCTCTCCCGTATAAGCCAGCTTTTTAAGCATGCAGCTTCATAAAATGGTGCAAGCTAAATTAACATTGTGCCATAGCAAGGTCCTTCCTTCAACCCTATTCCTACCTTACTTGTGGACGCACGTTCCTACAGATTAACTTGCACCACCTCTGATGGCTGTCTACCATTCACAAGCCACTCCAACTCACTAGCCCTGTACAAACACCACCACATAACTTATCAAAAAAGCTTCTCATTTTCTGCCAGGTTAGCAAACTCGATCAGCTCCTGCAAGGAGCAGTAAGTACTAGTAAGTACCAGAGTATGGTGGCTCTTTTCCTGACGCCTGCTGCCTGTTCACGGGTCCTGCATTCACATGCACATTTCTATGGTTCAACCAGCACTACTCATACCATTTACACTCATGAGCCTGCACCCCACTTTTGTATTAATAAAAATGCGATAGCCTAAAAATCATATACATCACAGCCAACTTTTATGGTACAAATGACAGCCCTGAATACAGTATCATTGTCTTTGTATATCTTGCATTTAAGATATTTTCTTTAGGAAAAAAGCTTGCCGAATAAAATTCAAATACGTGTTTAAGCACCTAATTCCCACATGCTCAAGTTCAAAGTCCCAGGTCTGACAGATCCTCACTGCCTACTTCTAGTTGGACTTCTTCACTCAAACTCACTTGGCTGAAATATGGTTTTATGTTATTTTCCACAATCTCCAGGGCTTCCCCCCATCTTAGAAGAAAGGCATTTTCTTGAACCACACTGCAGAGAAGAATGCAGCAGGAAGCCAAGCAATCCTTTCACTTGGAAGGAGCTTAAACAAGAAGATTCCAAACTTTTTTCCGACAACTCCAGCCTCACGCACTGGCATGAGACCCCACTGCCCCAAATTCACCAGGGATGTTCCTACTTCCAACTCCGGGGGAATCTGACAGCCACAAAACTCCAAATGCTCCTAACATTAAAATAAATATGCAAATAATGGAACCTCTGTTTCTTCATTTTAGCAGCCGTTAGCACTGCAATTAGAGTTCTCAGAGGATGCACTTACCCCCTAATGAATCCCTGGAACAGCCATAACAGGGTGCAGGGCAGATTACAGAATCCCCACAACACAACTCAGTGAATTGATGTCTCCCCTGAGCAACACAAAGCTGGGCCTAGAGATAGCAAGCATTTTTATGCTGTCTTCATTTTGAAGCCTTATTAACAAATTAAACAAGAAATAAACACATCTCCCTCTGGGAAAAGAAGAAAAAAATAAAGACATTTTAATAAGCAGCCTAGACACCTTTCCATAAGTCTCTTGCAGACAGGAAAAAGACACCAGAAAATCTTACAATAGAGC